TTGTATCTTGTTCATCACTATTTTCCTGATCCCCTGAACCATGCTTGGCACATAGAAAGTAGTCAGTAAAATCTGTGAATGAATGAATGAATGAGTGATGAATGAATGAATGGAAAACACTAGAACTTTGATCCAGTCAGGGACAATCTTCCCAGAGCGGACCCAGTTTGTCCCAGTTGGACTGAGGCTCTTGCTCCTTATTTAACCCTAAGAAAGGGCAATTTCCCAGCAGATGCTTCTTCCAAGAGGGCGTCCTCTGGATCGAGCACTCTGGACCAGTGACAGGGGCTCCCTTGGGAGCCCTCACTCCACAGCCTTGGCCTACAGAGCAGAGGCTCTTCTCCAAAGCTCCAGCACAAGTTGAGAGTCCTTAGCCTGAAAGCAGGGGATGAGGAGAGGTCTCAGAGGGGCCTTTAGTCTATTCACCTGCTTCCAAGCAGATCTGCCACTGAGCACATCACAGCGAGAGGCCATGTTTCATTCATTAAGCATCGCTCTGGGCAGGTGCTGGCCCGTCCCAGGGGCATAGAGGTGCACGTGTCAGGCATACACCTGCCCTCAGGGACTTAGACTCTACAGGAGGAGAGTATAGGCCTTTCCTTGTCTCCAAAGTCTTGCGAGACTGGGCTTCTGGAACTAGCTGTGCTTGCTCTTCCCGCCTGTCCTATAGCGCTCCTCCTACTGCAGATCAGGCTGCTTCTCACAGGAGCCCATGCAGGGCATGCTTCTCCCATCATAAGCTGCTCTCAGTCACCACAGCTCTGCACACTGCAGCCCCCGTGCTTTTGACTTTCCCTCAACAGGGGAACTTTCTATTCATCAGCCTCCCATGCTCCAGGGGACACAACTGGGAAATCAGCATCAGCAGGATGCAGAGAGTGAGGGCCCCTGGAGATGGTCTTCTGCAGGTGGGTAAGGACACCAAACATGAAACCATGTCAACTCCCCTCGATGGGAGGAGGGCAGGGAAGATGCTGTCTCTCCCGGTGATGGATTGTCTCCATGCCTCTGAAGGTATTACGCAGTGATAATGATCTTGTTCCTCTCTCCTTGCGCTACACAGCCATCAGAGCCCGGAGGCATCCTTTGTTGGGTCCAAGTTGTGTATCAACAATGCTTCTCAAAGGAAAGGAGGAGAGCCCAGCAAATTGGCCTCTTGTCTAGAGTGGAGAGTAAGTATGGAGAGTGAAGCCTGGGAGAGAAGTCCCAGTGGTCCTGATGAAACACAGAACCCCACTGATGGCTCTCCCACCCCCTGTGCTCCCCAGACCTGATCTTCATCCTCCCTGATGCCGTATCAACCACTCCCTGTCTCCCCAGCCCACCTGTCTCCCCTCATAGCGTCTCCCAGGCCAGTCCTGATAAAGCCATTCTGGTACCCTGTCACCAACCCCAATTCCCTTGCCCTCTTAACTTCCTGCCCATCACCTCCCTGGTCTCCTCCAACTGTGAGACAATGCAACATCATGATTTTTCCCAACCTTTTGAAAGTTGCTAGAGAAAAACCTTGCGTCCATGCTGAAAGCTCCACTGTGAGTTATGGTTTTCCACCCTGAGCGGCTCAGTGGGCTATTTGAAAGATCTTTGGCGAGGAGCATGTTGGCAGCTTTTGATCTTCAACTCTCTTTTCTCCTTGGACAATCCTTCCTTCTTGCTTGGGGCCCTTTATTGCTATATTCATCCTCCACTGCTTTGTGTCCAGCATCCTTCCTAGATTCGGGAGACCCCAAACCCTGTCTACCTCTGATTGGACCAGGGATGGTTACCTGCCCAAGTTGAGAACCAATTAGATTCCACCTCCTGAAAATTAGGAGCTAGAATACAGAGGCTCTGATTAGTCCACTTTGGATTCCAAGGCTAAAGGACTGCAGACCAGCAGAGAGAGACAGAGAGAGGCAGGTGCACAGAGAGGAGTAGAGATGGGATGCCATGTGGTCCCGGAGAGATGGTGAGAGCATCCCCATGAGGCCCAGCTGTCTTTCCTGGCCTCTTTACCAGTGAGAGACTTCCTTGCCTCCTAAAAAATTCCCACTTGTACTACTCTGAATGGGTATCTGTCCTGAATAAGTGCATTTACTGACCAGGACTCAGCAAGAGATCTCACCTCCTACCTCACTGAGGAAACTGAGATCATCAAAGGAAAACCTCCCCTGATTTCAACCCTTGGTCTGTCTGTCACACACATTCCCCTTGCCCTCCAGCTCAGGGAAGGCTGGGCCTGACTCTTTTCCAAGCTCATGTCTACCCAGTTGATTCCACTCCCTCCTGCTTCAGTAATAATAACAATAATAGTAATAATAGTTCCCTGCTTCTTTATCATCACACCTCAGGCTCTTTCCCAAAAGCCCATTCACAAGTTAAATCCCTTCAGTCCTAAAAATCAAAACACTGTGCTTTGACCCCACTTTCCCCCCAAGCCACCAACTCATCCATCTCCTTCCTTTCCTTTTGCTTTAAAAGGAAAAACAGCCAGGGACAGTGGCGAGAGCACAAGACTGGGAGACAGGAAATGAGCTCTAGCCATGTATTAGTGCTGAGTGGCACTGAACAAGTTTCTTAACCTCTCTGAGCTGGTCTCCTCAAGCTGGACAAACAGTGATGATGAAAATCTTACTCACTTTGCAGGCTTCTTGTGAGGATGGGTTAATTTATGTGGATAAAAGGTGCCTAACATATTCTCTGGCATTTTGTAGCTGCTCAATCAATCATTAATCAGAAGACTAATTTATTTTATTATGTCTACTTTTCATCTTCCATTCCACCCTCCATCACTAGCAGTCTGGCTCTACCTCCCCCACCCCAGCCTATTGTTTTGTCGCTGCAGCCACTGAGGTCACGGCTGACCTCTTATTTGCTGATATTTTTCCCTCTTCGATGCTACCTGTCCCTCTGCGGCAGCTGCGTTTGACTCTCCCTGCCTCTTTCTCTTGGCTTCCCCCCAGGAACTGCTGGCCACAGTGGATCAGACTTTCTTGGCTGGCTCCTCGGCTTCCTGCCCTAGGTCTGCAGGGTCTTCTCTCTGCTCAACTTGTGGGTGCCTCTCCCGGGGGGCCTCACCTCCCTTCACGGCCTCACTTTATCACCAAGATGAAGAAGCACTGGGTCTTATCTCTGGCCCTCCCTTCTGCTCAGGGTCCTCCTCTACCCATCCCTCCTCTCCTCTCCCCATCTACCCAGCAAAGCTGCTTCCCTTCCTGTGCCTCTGGCCTGGGTACCCTCGGACCACCCGGCATCCAAACCAGGAAACCCAATGCCTCTTTTCTCCTTCTCCCCGCAGCCCCAGTCAGCCACCTTCTATCTGAGATCTGCAGATTATTTTTCAGATTGGTTTCCTTTCCCACGCTCCATGCCGTTGTCATATTCTAGCTGTCACCAGATTTTACCTAAACTCCTGTTGGGCCCTCCAACTGGTCTCCTGGACTCCAGTCTCCCCTCGCTCAAGCTCACCTCAACACAGCTCTCTGTTTTTGTCTCAGAACACATTCCCTTCACACACACACACACACCCTCCACACAACAGAGGGAGTGATCATGAACTCTGGCTCCAACCTGTCTTTCCAATCCTCCTTTCCTGCAGTCCTGCTGGCGAATCTCACCTTCCAGCCACAGTGGGTTCTTTTCTCGCCTCCACATGTTTGTCTATGTTGTCTCCTGGACTAGGTTGTTCCCTCTATTTTATGCCCAGAAATAATCAGTTCACCTTCAAGCCTCTACCCACAGAGTCCCTCTGCTGGAGAGCTTCTTCCAACTCCATTCTCACATAGCGTGCGTACCAGGCCCGGTGATAACCCGGAGCCTTTGTCTCCTCTGCCTGGAAAGCTTTGGCTCCAGCTCTTCAAGAGAACGATTCCTTCTCTGGTGTCAGCCCACATGCCCCAGCCACCATACCTCCAGGAGACCCCCAGCCCCACTCCGCTCCCCCTGCAGTTGCTCCTGTCACCAGCCTTATTTATTTCCTTTCTTGTACTTATTACAAATCCCAATGATCTTATGTGGCTGGTTAGGCTCCCTTTGAAGGAAACTCTGAGATGGAGTTCAGCTTATGGGATGTGTCATGAAGAGGGCCCTTGGGATCAACAGCAGTGGAAGGGAGGGGCAGCAAGAAGGAGGAGGCAGAGGGAGCGGTCGACCTTCCCTCCACACTGACGATGGCCTCGGCTGACCCCTCAGGCAGCGGTGGAGGTAAGACATCCTGCAGCTGGGCTGGAAAGGCGGGGCTCTTCGGCCCCAACTCCATCAGCCTTTGGCTGGGACCACTCTCAGAAGAGCACGACCCCAGGCAAGGCAGCTCTCTGCATGCACTGTTAGAGGTCCCCTCGGTTTCTACCGAGCCTTAATTCACTTCTGCATTTCGTCTAATACTTTTTAAAATTTTTCTGAAGCCAAGAATAGATGTAAATGTACAAAGAAACCCCCTAATTTGGGGGATAAATAAAACTGTGGTTTCCTTTTTCAGCAATTGTTTGACGCTCTTGGCTCCAGGGCCTTCTTTCAAGTGCCCGCATCCCCACCAGCCTCCTCTCTGGCCTCCGGCCAAGGTGGAGAGAAGACAAACAGGACCTGGGCGTCCCTCCAACCCACTGCCTGGCCCTGGAGCCTGAGTCCCACTCCTTTCTCCAACTCAGGCAGTTGGAGTCCATGGTTTCGGAGGAGAGCAGCAGGGAGAGGGGATGCAGGCCAGGGGCTCTGAGAGGATGGAAAGCCAAGGTCCTGGCTCCACGGACTTCTCTCTCCCCCCACTGCTGGCAGATGGAGTCAATAAGGATTATACTCAAACTCGGAGTGGTTCCAGGGCTTATTGGAAAAAGGAGGATGGAGAAAATCCTCTTTTCTTCCTCCCCACCTCCAAAGCTGATGAGAAATCAGCAAAGCCAAGTCCAGGAGCATTCAGCCATCTTCCTCCCTTCTCATATCTGTGGCATGCCCTGCCTCTCCTTTTAAATCTGTACTTGTAAGGGCACTGGAACATCTTTCTGGTTTCTTCCCAGGCCTCATCTCACCTTGAAACCACCAGAGGAATGTGTCAGATGCTGTCCCAAGGGGAGAGATCACAGGCAGGTGATTTCTTGAGCCCTGGAAAAGAGAAGAGGAGATGCTGAGCACGGGGCAGGGCAATGACAGGGGCAGGGCAACGACAGGGGACAGACTAGGCTGCCAGCCTCAAATGAGAAATATCTATGGCCCTGGACCGACCTCCTCTGTCCACCCTGCTCCTCTGTGGACAGAGGGGTTTACATTTTACATCATAGGCAAAAACTTCCCAAACATCCCCTTTTACCACCCCTCTGCTTGCTCCCCAGACTTCCTCTCCCTCCAGCAGCTACCTCATCACTCGCTTGCTCACGTTCATCCATCTTCATAGCCCTCTCTCACAGCTCCCTTCCGCCACCCAGGCCCCCAGCCCCCTTCCCACACAAGCCTCTCGAAATCAGCTCGGATGCCCCATGCAGCGAGGCCAAAAGGAGCCAAAGATAAAACAGTACCCAGAACCTGGTATGCGATCTCGAGGCTCGCAGGAGACGGGTCCTGGTGTTCGTGGGGCCCCCTAAGCCCTAGATTAGAGTGCCTCCCCCACTCCTGGCTGCCCATCAGGGCCCAGTTTCTTTATCCCCGGAAATATCCCAGGACTTAGAATCAGAAATGGAGATTTGAGTCCCAGGCCCACCACTTCCCCACCATGGGATCTGGGGTAATGAAACGTACTGGGGGCTGTTTCACCTTCTAGGCCCACTGAGTATGTCCCAGGAGCCAGCGAGGGCCAAGCCGTGACCCAGCAGGGGCCTGCATGAGTCAGGGGCTGCCAGAGTGGGCGAGACGGAGCAGACACGCTTCTGCCAATGATTCTGCTGAGCAGGAAGGGCCAGATGGTGAAAGTAAGGTGGGATAGGCACAGGGAGGCCACTGGGGAGATGGGGGAGTGAGCCACACCTGATCTCATCTCAGCTGCCGTGCAGGGACCACGATGGGGCTTTTCCTGGGCGGCTCTGTCTGCCGGGGGCAGATAGCTGGATTCGCCTCGGGCTTGTCAGCACAGCGCCTGACTCAAATACCAACGAGGGCAGCATAAAACCTCTCTTTCAGGCTTTCCTGCCCCGTGGCGCCAGCACACGCCTGGGCACATGTGAGCTAATTAGCCTCAGCACTTGGGGGCTCTGCTGGTTCCTGCCGTGTGCGCCTGCGCGTACGTAACGCACCTAATTTCTACGCGGCCCATGGCTGCTCACTCTTGGGTGCGAGTTCTCGCTGCCAGATGGATCCTCCTTGGTGGTGAGACCATGTTCCCCATCAGACCAGAGGATCTCAGACAACAGAGGGGAGGAGGGAGTACTGAGTGGAGGGCAGCTCTGGGCTGGGTGCCTGTTCCCAGATCCTGACCCCAGCCCTCATCGTGCATCGCGGGTCTACAGGTCTCTAGGTCAGTAACACTGCCCACCCGGGTCTGAGGGAGGCTGCGGGAAAGGGCCCACTCTGGGAGCTGGGAGGCGCTCTCTGTGGATGCTCGCTGTGCCCCCTTCCCCTCCCCTCTCGTGATCTCACCTCTCCTTCCTCAGTTCCCAGGGCCATCTGGCTTGTCCCTCCTGTGGTCTTCAGCTCATTCCAAAATCTGGTGTCAGTGACTGGTAAGTCTTACAGGTTTTCTGTTGGGGAAAGAAATGAATGAAAGGCCATCATTAACAAATGATGTGAAGTGAAGGTGTTTCCCCTGACAGGGATGTTTGCATCTGAGCCTGCTCTCTCCGGGTGGGACGAAGGGCATAGTGCTCATGAAAAGAATTTCAGGTTTCAGTGATCGGATGGTGTTGGGAGGAAGAAATTTTTCTGTACCCTTATAGGTTCTTCTGGCTGGTTTAAGAATTAAGTTGACATGAGACAGACTAACAGGTGAAAACCAAACAAAAGTTTAGTAACATGTATACATGAGAGAGACCCAGGAAAACTGAGGAACACCCCAAATTGCAGATATCAGCACCTTAAATACCATCTTCAGCTAAAGCCAAACGAGGAGGTGGGGGATAGGGGCTTGGGACCTCAAAGGGGGAGGCAATTTACATGGAGATGGAAAAGTAGATGTCTGGTAAATAAATGTGTGCTGGGGCCCTGCAGAGACAATGAGACCCAGAGAGGAATTCTAACAGACATTGCTGGGTTTCCCCCTGTCCACACACTTCGTTTGTACTACTGCAGACCCTTGAACAATGCAGGGGGTCGGGGTGCCAATGCTCCGCATAGTGCAAAGTCCTTATATGGCTTACAGTCAGCCCTCCCTATCTGTGTCTCCTCCGTGTCCACCGTTCTGCATCCTCGAATTCAATCAGCTGCGGGTGATGCTATATTGTAGCATTTACTACTGAAAAAATTCTGCATGTAAATGAGCCCACACAGTTCAATCCTTTGTTATTCAAGGGTCAACTGTGTAGTTATCTACGGTGTTAGCTCCCTTCCTGGAATGGTCCTCTAAATACTTTGAGGCAGTTAGGGAGAAGATCAAAGGTTCCTCCTTGATTGTCCTCAGCTCAAAATAATTTGCGTGCCCAAGAGACACATTTGAGGATGGTAAATTTTGCCCTCCTACAAAGGCAAAGTAAAATTTTGGTTAGGGGTGTCTATCATTCCTGTGCCCTACCTCAGAATAGGTCGAGCTACGCACCTAAATACCTATAGCAGCGAAGCTGGCCATAGTGGGAAATACACTCTGAGATCAGCAGAAAGTGCCAGGGGAGGAAGGGCTTAGGCAGAGCTGCCTTAAAATCTAGGTGATGAAGCCATGGAGGTAAAAGGCAGCGGAAGGAGCACAGGATGCTCAGCAGACCTGAGTTCTAGTCCCAGCTGAGCCCCTCTGTGGGCCTGAATTTCTCATATTAAAAAATAGACAGGGAGATCTTTTACCTACCTAACATTCTATGGGGGTGCAGAGGGGAAGCTGAGGCTATCTAGGACGGGCAGGGATCTCTGCAGCTTTGTCAAGATGTAACAGAACCTCCCCGAGAGCTGACTCAGCCCACAGAGGACCAGGGATGGGCGTCTAGGGGCTCAGGAACCCAGCTCACTCTTCCTGGCTCCCCATGAGCCAGGCCACAGGGAGCCAGGGCAATTCTAGCCACAAGTCCTTCTTGAAGGCCTCCAAGAAGAGTCAGATCCCCACCAGGCCTCTCTCCTATCCAATTCTTCCTTTCAGCAGCACCTTGGCTAAGGAGCTAGAAATGACATCCTGTCTGATTCCATTTAAAGGAAATTCAAGAAAGGTCATAGAAATCTTAACAGTGGTCACCCATTCAGTGAGGGAAGAGGCCCTGGGGAGTCCACTGTGGTGTTGGCGATACTCTGCATCTTGATCTGGTGGTGGTGACAGAGGTGTATACATATACCATAATGCACCGAGCTGTCCTTGAACATGTGTGTGCTTTACCGTATGTAAATTATACCTCAATTAAAAAAGAAAACGATCAATAGCAGAAGAGATCAGAAATGGTTCTAGGCCTGGGAGAGCAGTGCCGGAAACAGGGCAAAGTGGGAGCAGAGTGGGATGTGTGTAACCATGAGGAAGAGCTGGAAAGATAAGGGGGGTGGACCAGAGGCAGGAGGCACTGGAAAATGAGAGAGAAAGAGCAACGGAGAAAGAGCAGGAAAGGAGGGCGACACAGAAGAGGAGTACAACCATCAGCATTGGTGGCGTGGGCAGGAGGAAGTGGCAACTTGGCTAGAGATGTCAGGTGACCTTAAGGTCCTCAAAACCACCCCTACATCCTTTTAAGGATGGACAGTTCTAGGGAACGTCGGTGCCTTGGGAGGTGGATAAGCTGAGACATGTGACAGGTTTTGCCAGGCTGCAGGGCTAATGTTTGTGGCTACGCAGGGTGACAGGAGTGGGGAGAAGTTCTTTGATATCCTTACCACTAGACGGTCCTGAGACTCACCCTCTAAGCTGAAGAAGAAAGGGCTTCTCATTGATTTGTCCGGCTTCCACTGCTGGGAAGAATCAAGCTCATCTAACATTTAGAGTTTGCAGACAGCTGAACTGTGACTTGCACCACTTAGAGCAGGGCCGACATTGATGTACACTGTTAATATTAAGCTCTAAGTGGCTTCTGTATGTTATCCAAAAACGAAGAGTAAAACTGAGCAAATTCATGCCTTCTTTTAAAAAATGGGCGGTCTTTAAAAAATGATGATTCAGAGCTCAAAGTCACAGAATGGATCTAAGAAGATGAAACTCCTTGAGGGGAATCCCTGGGGAGGGGGGTTGGCAGCATCCTCTGCTCCCCAGCCCCACCTGCCTGAGCACAGCCAAACTTGGGGCTCCATCCAGGACACCTCCATTTTCTGTTTTACCTACTTGCCAAGAGCGAGGGCTGGGGGGTCAGCCTACCTGGATTAGAATTCTCTCTCTTTTACTTACTTGCTGTCGAAACCATATACTTTGATTTTCTCATCTGTAAAATGGGATTATAATGGTATCTACCTCTTAAAGTGATTCTGAGGATTAAATGGTTTAATACGTGTAACATACTTAGACATACCCATGCCTGGGACATTTTTAATGCTCAGTAAATGTTGTTGTTATGATTATGACCATTATCCCTGAGCACGCATTTTCTTTGCTCCTATAGACCCACAGCCTGGGGTATCTTTCCTCACCTCCCCAGGAAGATGCTTCCCGGGCTGGGGACTCAGTTTGAGTCCAGGTGATGACTACATAGTCTCCTTCTCTCCTCACCCTCAAATAGAGTGAAAAATTGAGTTGGTTCAGCAAACCTATACCTTTTCTACAATGTCTTGTATCCCACACTTATTTATCTCCCCGAATATACGCTACTACGCTTCTTGAGGGCAGGGCCTGGGTCTCATTTACATAGTACCTCGCCCCGTGCTGGGCACTCCCTGAACCAAGGCATCTGCTGCTTTTGCTGTCTTCTCCCGGGTGGTCCATTGACAGAACCCCCAGCCACAGCTGGAAGCTCTAAGCTGAAGCTCCCAATGGTTCCCTGGTGCAGGCATACGCTGTGGACAAGAATCCACTGTGCAGAAACGAGGCACAGGGAGCCCTTTCAAAAAAGAGAGTATATTTCCCTTCATACGCTGCCCAGACTTCTCCTCTAATCTCTGCCTGCTACACATCTCTATTTGGAAGCCAAATGGCAGCTAACCACACCATATCCAGGACAGAGCTCCTGATACTCCTACTTTAACCGGATCATCCTATATTCCTCTCCATCTCAATAAAGAACAACTCTACCCTTCTGGTCGTTCAGGTCAAAAATCCTGGAGCCATTCTGGGTGCCTCCCTTCTTTTTCACAACCCTCAATGAATCCATCAGCCATCCTGTTATGTCTACCCTCAAAATACCCAAACACTTCCTACAGGGGTGTTTTGGGAACTGATTGCTAAATATTCATGAAATTTTTGAGCTGGTTGTTAAGTCATAAGTAAGGTGAAGTCAGCCATGGTGGGAATATTTACACCATAGAAATGGGCAAATGTTAAAAATCACAGTTTTTATTTTTATTTTTTCCAGCAAGCTGGTTCCCAAAACTTCAATGACTTCTCATCCCCTTCACTACAACCCCATGTCCCCAGCCTCCATCATCTCTCATCTGGATCATTGCAACAGCCTCCTCTCTGGTCTTCCTGCTTTAACTCTTGCCACCCTTTAGTGTACCCTCAAACAGTAACCCTTTAAAAACACAGGTTGTGTCATGTCCAGGCTATGCTGGAAACTCCAGAGGCTCCCCATCCCACTCAACGTAGAAGCCTAAGTTCTAACCAAGACTCACAAGGCTCTATGGATCTGATCCTCCACCACCTCTCTGACCTCACTTCTACTACTCTCTCTCACTTCATTCCAGCCACAGAGACCTCCTTGATGCTCCTTAAACATGCCCAGCATTCCTCTGCCTCAGGGCCTTTGCACTTGCTGTTCCTGCTGCCTAATAAGCTCTTATCCTCCATGAGCTCATGGCTTTCTTGCTCATTTTCTTCAGTTCTCTCTTTATGAGAGAAAGATCAGAGTGATTACTCTGTGAGCATCAGCTTTCTCTCACTCTGCCATTACTCTCTATCTCCCTTATACTCCATTTTTTTCCTATGTCTATCACCACCAGAAACATTTCATATTTATTTCTCTCTGTGGCTATTGTTTACCTCCCCACCCCCACCCCCCAACTAGAATGCAAGCTTCACCAGGGCTGAGACGTTGTTTTGTTCCCTATGCACCCCTGGTGCCTCGAATATGCCGGGTACATAGTAGGTGCTCAATAAATACACACTGAGTGACTGATGCTGCTTATATCCCCAATCCCTGGGCAGGGGGATCACAGCAGCAAGGTGGAGCAGCCTCCACTGCTGGACAGAGACGGTCCCCCTTGGGCCTCCTCACTGCTCCAGTTTCCTGGAGAATCCCACTGCTACCAGGAATTTAAAAAGAACACTTAATTGAGCGAACAGCAATCAAAGTGCTAAGGGCCCCCATGAGAATGAATCCCTTGATACAAGAAAACTTTAAGGTGTAAGTCTGAAGCGAAGCTGAACACAAGCTCGTCTACCAGTGTTTATAAGAGTGTTTTCATAAGGCAAACTTGAATTTCAGGCTGAACTGATTAAAAAACCAAATGTTTGTATCTTCATTTGCTATGGGCCAAAGAAAGTATAAATATGAATATATATATACATACGTACACATGTATATTGGCCTATGTGTGTGTGTGTGTGTGTGTGTGTATGTGTGTGTGTATGTATATATATATACTATATATATATATAGTTGACATATATATATGTCAACAGTTGTGCTGGTTCATTTTATGTATCAACTTGATTGGGCCATGGGGTGCCAAGATATTTAGTTAAACATTATTCAGGGTGTGTCAGTGGTGAGGGTATTTTTGGATGAGATTAACATTTGAACTGGTAGACAAGATAAAGCAAAGTGCCCTCCTAATGTGGGCGGGGTTCGTCCAATGAGTTGAAGGCCTGGATGGAACAGAAAGCCTGACCCTCCCTCAAGTAAGAGGAAACTTCTTGCCTGAACGTTTAAGCTGGGACATTAGCCTCTTCCTGCCTTCAGACTCAAACTGAAACATCGGCTCTCCTTGGGTCTTGAGTCGGCCAGCCTTCAAACTGGAGCCACACCATTGGCTGTCCTGGGTCTCCAGCTTGCTGACTGCACATTTTGGAACTTCTCAGCCTCCATCCCTGAGTGAGCCAATTCCTCATATTAAATAAATAAATAATACACACACATCCTATGTGTTCTATTTCTCTGACTAATGTAATGTGTGTGTGTGGACTTTATAAATACCACACTGACCCTTGAACAACGTGCAGTCAAAAATCCACATATAACTTTTGACTTTCCAAAACCTTTACTCATACCTACTGTTGACTGGATGCCTTACCGACAACATAAACAGTTAATTAACACATATTTTACGTATTATGTACTGTATTCTTACAATAAAAATAAGCTAGCAGAAAGAAAATGTCAAAGTAAAATACATTTATAGTATTGTACTGTATTTATCAATACAGTAAGTTTATGTCATCTGTTTAAGAGATGAATTGTCTGTCCTTACATCAATATTGTCTCATATGATACAAGATGCTGTAGATGTTATTCAAATTACTAACATTGGATATCAAGAATGAAAAGAGTGTCAAAAAGAAACTGGTATTTATTTACAGGTATGATGATTCATGCACTGATAACAAAGAAGCTGCAATATAATTGCTTTAGTGTAATCAATAGGGTTGCTTCATGGTAGACTAGCCTATATGCTAATGAATCAATCATTATAAAAATTTATATGGAATACAGTGTTACAGTCATATTCATAATACAGTATTAGAATCATTGTTACTTAAAAAAAAACTACTTACTTGTGATGATAGGCTGATATGCAGTCTCCAATTATGAGGGAGAGAAGCATACTGCATGGTAATATAATTTTTTGAAAGCAAAGCTATAAAACAGTGAAAAAACTAACACATTAATATTTATATTAAACGTCACTCACCTCATGTCTATGTCAGCATCGGCTATCCACTTCAATACAATTCCGGCACGTGATGTTCTTCAAGTATAGTTCCTATATTTGTTGGAAAAAAATTAGCGTGTAAGTGGACCCGCCCAGTTCAAACCCGCGTTGTTCAAGGATCGACTGTGCATACTTGTGGGGCAACGGCCAGTAGCCCGGGCGATGTTTGTGGGTAGGCAGAGGTTATGACTCTCTTATTGTAAGAGGCCTTCTTTACACAGAAGTAAAAGAAGACAGTTACTCACTTACTTGGTGTCCTCCTGGCCACCAGCAGCTTTCCTGCTGCCATAGGACAGAAATGCAGGCAGCAGGAGAATTGGGCGTGGCCTCCAGGGCAGCCTGGGTTCCTGGGAGGTCTTTTTCTCTAGATTCAAAGCCACCTTGAGTCAAGAGACACAGAGTGTAGGGGCTGGGCATGGTGAGGCAAGTGGAATGGCCTCCCCTTTGTAAAAATATTTTTATTGAAGTATAGTCAGTTTACAATGTTGCATAAATTTCTGGTGTACAGCACAGTACTTCAGTCATATAGGAACATACATATATTCATTTTCATATTCTCTTTCACCATAAGTTACTACAAGATATTGAATAATGGCCCCTTTTCTGATCACGACAGTTCTACGGCTGAGAGGCCACAGGAGGAGGGAGAGAAGAATGAACAACTCAGAATGCATTCCTTCACAGACTCCCACATTCAGGGAGCAGCTCTGCCCCTCGATTCTCTAGGTCAGATAATGGCACTGCCATCCCCAAGTCACTCAAGATGGAAACCTCAGAGACATCTTTCACCCCCCTTCACTCTGGGCCCCCCTTTCACCGTCACCACATCTGAGTGACATCATCACTTCCTTCTCACTCGAGAGTCATGAGACAGTGTGAACCGTGGTTAGCCTGGGGAGAGGGACTGGAAAGACGGGCAAGAGAGGAAAACACTTATTTTAGAAGTTTCTATACTGTCTGCATTTTCTACACTGTTGCTAAATTACTCATCTTGGCTGTCAACAGACATCAAATAGATAATCTGAATAAATATGCACACACACACATATAATGTGTTTATATAATCAGCTGCATATGTTAACTACCTCCATGGCCATGTCCCTGGTAGGGCCAGCATCACTTCCTGCCTTCTGACTGGTCTCCTTTCTACAAGCCCCTCCTGACAAATCAATCCTGCACACTGACGCTAGAGTTACCGCTCTCAGACACTATTTGAAGTGATTCTGGGTCATTTTCTTCCTCAATATAATACAAGGTCATGACTATCAAGTGTGAAATTGCCTAGCTTGGTGCCCGCTGCTTAGGAAGCACACAATGAATGCTGGTTTCCTTTTTTTTATTTATAGGTCTTCAGAGGGTCTCCACTGATCAAAGAACAAAGCACCCCACTTCTTAGCTGGTGCCCCAGGACATCTTGCTGGCCTGGTTTCCACAGTGCACACTGCATTCAGGCCATACAGAAAAGCTCTGGGGTTTCCCCCACACCTGCCAATTTCTTTCCTGTACTTTCCTGGCTTGTCAAAATCCTTCCTGGCCCTCTAGGGACCGTCTCAAATGCCATCTTTGCCAGGAAGTTTTCCAAAAGCACCCTCTTCTGCACCACCACAGGACTTATTGGTTCTATCTTTTCTTTGTTAAATATGTATCACTTTTGGAAATCACGTATTAACGCCTTTTGAAATGCTTCCTCCACCTCCAGCTTCCCTTGTCTCTGGCCCAGTTGCAATGAATTAATTCATTAATTATTTATTGAGGGTCTACCATGTGCCAGGGACTGTACTGGACACCAGGGGGGGAGTGATATTGATCAGCAAGTTAGAGGCAAATCTCTTCCCACTGTAGTCGGGGAGGCTATTGAGGCGGGAGGGTCTCTGGAGCTGAGAAGTGAGCAGAGACATGAATGAAGTGAGTGATTAGCGGTGTCAGGAGAGCCCTGTGGAAGGAAGGAGCTGGCATGTTAAAAAAGGTCAAGAAGTCAGTGTGACAAGATGCAAGTGGATGAGAGGGAGCCCAGAGAAGAGGGAGCTGGGGACATGGTCAAGACCAGGTCATGGGAGAGGAGTGTCATGGCCTGGTTTTCATTTTTAAACATCACCTGAGGTTCTGAGTGTAGAAGAGATGACAAGAAGTGGAGGACCAAGAATGAAATCAGAGGAATCAATAGGGAGACGAGGTAAGAAATGATGGAGCTTTATACCAGGGTGGAACTGGCAATGGTGGATTTGAGGACTCCTTTGAAAGAAGAATAGTGTTGTCATTTACTGAGATAAAGGCAGAGTAGCAAGGAGTGCAGGATGGGCACTAGGGTAAGAATTTCATTGTGGGCCCATCAACTCTGAGATGTCTATTAGACACGCAAGAGGAAATGTCGCAAATGGAATTGGATATATCAGTCTGGCTTTCAAAAAGAGATCTAGGCTGGAATTGGTTGATTCAACTGATTAAGTAAAAATTTTAAATAAATACCCTTTATCATTCATTTATTGAGCCATTAGGATGATCCATATAAAACACCATCTTTATATTTCAAAATGATCAAGTATCAGCCAATTTCATATAGTTCAAGCTGACATATCCAAAGTGCCCTGCCAAGCAAAGGCTATAAAGGATAAAGATGTATTGGGGAGTAACATTTACTTAAATCTATTTTTTAAACCTTTACTTAAATCTATTTTTTAAACAGTTTTGTTGAGATATAATTGACTTGCAAAGAACTGCACTTATTTAATGTGTACAGTTTTATGAACCTGGACATATGCAAACACCATCACCACAATCAAGGTAACAGACATATCCAGCACCTCCCCAAAGTTCCCCCGTGCTCCTTTGTTTGTTTGTGGAAAGAACACTTAGCATGAGATCTACCCTCTTAATGAACTCTGAGGTGCACATTACCATGCTGTTAACTCTAGGATGTGGCACAGCAGGTCTCCATAACTTGTTCCTCTAGCAGAACTGGAATTTTACACTCATTGAACAACTCTCCATTTCCATCCCCACCGCCAGCCCTGGCAACCACTGTCATATTCTCTTCCTCTGTGAGTTTGACTATTTTAGATACTTCTATATAAATGAAATTATGCAGTATTTGTTCCTCTGTGACCAGCTTATTCACTTAGCATAATGTCCTCCAGGTTCGTCCATGTTGTTACAAAAGGCAGGATCTCCTTCCTTTTTTAAAGGCTAAATGATACTTCATATGTATACACATACATATGTATCATATGTATACACCACATTTTTTGTCAATCCATCCATCAGCGGCTACTTGGGTTGTTTCCTTATCTTGGCTGTAGTGAATAGTGCTGCAGTGAACACGGGAGTGCAGCTATTTCTTCAAGATCCCGATTTCAGTTCTTTTGGATATATCCTGAAGTGGGAATGCTGGACCTTATGATAGTTCTATTTTTAATTTTTTGAGGCATCTCCATACTGTCTTCCATAGCTGCTCCATCAGTTTAGACTGCCATCAATGGTATACGAGGGTTCCGATTTCCCTACAACCTCACCAACACTTGTTGCCTCTTGTCTTTTAAATAACAGACATCCTAACAGGTGTGTGATGATATTACATTGTAGCTTTGATTTGCATTTCCTTGATAATTCATGGCCTTGAGTATC